TTCGAGTAGTACAATTTAATTTATTAGACTATTTCAAATGGTTGCTTCCAACTTCTTAAATTCGAACCATTTGTTAATGAAACAACTGTTGGTGAAGTGATTGTTGGCAAAATTAATCAATGTTTTATATTAACGTTTATTTTTACATTATCAAATTCACAATTTTGATTGGTCAATCAACAATTGTGTAGGTTAAAATTTAATGATTGAATCAATTGAATCATGTATTTTTTATTATTATTATAATGCTATGAAACACTCAGCACAGTGGTATTTTTATTTTTTGACCATATTGTATAACGTTGTATAATGATAAATGATTTCATGGTTTGAATGTGCTCACCATCTGTAAACTTGGTTGCTTGAAGATGGACAGGGACGTCGTAGAAAGTTGAGTTCCATGCACTGAAATGGCCTGAGAGGAATTTCTCTACGAAAAAAGCGAAAAAAAAATGTGGGGACGGCCATCCTATTTGTATTTTTTTGAATTGATAAAATAGACTATTGTCTTGACCTGAGTGATGTCGTTGTGTGAGTAAAAGACACAAATCTCACTCTCACATTTTCGTTTAAAAACTTGTTCTCACGTACAACAGTTCTAAATAAATCTATTGCTACAATAAAAATGAAATATTTTGGTGCTACAAAAAATAATTGCGAACGTTAATACTAAAGTCTTTACTCTCCATTTGCATAAATAAATTAAATTACTATTATTATTATATTATTATGATAATAAAATGATATATTCATTACAATGATTATAATCACAAATTCATTCAATAATGACAATTATGAATTCATTTTTTTAATCAAAAATATTTAATATATAATGTCTATGTAAAATGTCAAGATAAAAAAACTTAAAAATACTTCTAATTGTTAAAGAGAAAAAATTAATAAACTATGTCAAACGTAACTAATTATTATTTTATTATTAATATTAATATCATTATCATTGTCATTCATATTATTAAATTTAATAATAATAAACATATTTTTAGGTAATCCTTAGTATTGATAATCCAAAATATCCACTGATTGATATGATCCTAATCTGAGTAATACAGATAGACGTTTTAATGTTCAACAATATGTTTGGCTGAATCGGCTTTGGATGGTGCAAAAATTCTTGATGTTGGGTAATTAATAGTTTCTGATCAATAATTAATAAATTAGAAAAAATTCTTAATAAATTACTTAATTTGATTCAATAATTAGGTCTATTGGAGATCTATGGGTAGCACATATAAAAAAAGAACATCCTTCAGCCGATGTCACGATCATTAACATACCTGATTTTTCCACTGATTGCTCAACTACAACATTCAATGAAGTTAAAGCCGTTCTAAAGAAATTGCCATACATATAATGAAAATACTTTTGATCTTGTTCATCAAAGATTTAAATCCAACTCTTCATTTACTGAACAACAATTAAAACAAGTCATAAACGATTATATCAGGGTCCTTAAATCCGGTGGTTGGATTGAAATCACGGTATTTATTTTGATATCTTTTTATCAAATACATATTAATATATGCTTTTTATATAATATTTGCTTGTTCGTTTTAATTATCGGGATTTTTGACCAAGAAATTTTCAATCCTGGAGAAGCTTATAAAAAAATTCAAAAATCCAGTAAGTTTACTCATTCGTTGTAAATATTTTATATTTTATATATTTATTTTTCCAATTTACTTATTTATTTATAAATTTGTAAATTTATAGCGCATGCTACTCTTGTTCAAGGAGGATTCAATCCTACCCCAAGTTCATTCTTACCAAATTTATTGAATCTCACAAGGATTTGACCAATTTCAAGTTCATAGAACATAAATATCCAATTGGTAAATGGGGCGGCGTTCTTGGTAAAGTGGTAAGTAAATAATATTCTTTACTAATTCTATTTCGTGGTCTGGGTAATACTGATCTATTATCGTTTCATTGCGCCTCACATCTTTTAGATATTTAAGCTATGGGAGGTGATTTACAAAGAATATTCTGATTTGGTAACAAAATTTATCAATGAAGTTGAAGAACAAAAATCATGTTGGGTAATTTATAAAATTATTGCTCAAAAAAATAATCCAATATTTAAGTAAAAGATTTTGTTTTGATGGAAATTATAAATTTAAAACTGTGGTTTGGTTTGTTTGATTGATAAAATTATTTAGAAACAAGAATAGAAAAAATCTTTAAAACTTCCAGAGAATAAGTTCTATGCTTTCTTTTAATATTTATGATTTTTTATAGCAAACTATAAATTTATAAAATCATCATCTTTATATTAAAGCAAGAAATAAAAAAAAAATGAATGTTTGAAAAAATTAAATGATATTTCTAGGGTAACTAAACAGTCACCTTGATTGTTCCTATAAACCTCAAACAATCTATATAAAAGATCCAAAATTCAAGTCATACTTTAAATTTTATTCTAGAAGCGAAGATAAAATTTTTCTTATACAAAAAATAATAATGGCTTTATGAATCATGGAAGTTCAACAACTATTTTGGAAGAGAAATAATAAATTAAGGAATGAAATTAAAAATATACTGCTTACAAAACTCGGTCATTGTGCGGTTAAAAAAAAGAAAAAAAGGAAATCAAGATCAATTAATTTGCTTGCAAAAGTTAGTCAACGATGAATCGCATAACTAAATCTAGGATGAATTGATAATTTTATAAACCGTTAATCTCCATAAAGCTGGGACATTAATAAAGTGACATTATTAATTAAACAGTAATGTGTTTTATAATAATTAGTATTAAATATTTCAGTTAAATTTATTTGAGCAAATATTATATATATGTAAAAGAAACCCGTCTGTGAAAATAAATAAATAACGAGAAAAAAGAAAGCGTCGAGAAGTAAGATGAAATCTGATGGACAAAATATTAATCTCAGAAGAATATCCACTATCCTTCGAATGGTCAAAATCAAAGTTTTTCTTATCCCGAACACCCACTATCTCTCTCAAATGGTCAAAATCCAAAAAAAAATTTTAATTCAACACCAATAATCAAAAAAATTTTGCACGTATTGTTTTGTTTATCGATCATTTTTTTTTTTAAATTGACAATGAAATAAAACGTTTTTGAACCCCGGTCTCGTGACCATAAAATATCACTAACACCTTGTGTGACAAGCCTTTGACGATCCGAGGTAAAGGCTCCAAGACAAGACCATCAGTTTTTGGTCATTTTGAACGGACCGAAACGTCGGAGCAAGACGAAGACCTAACGGTAGAAAGCGGTCGACACCATGTAAAAAAATCTAAAGCGAAACATGATTTCCTTTCAGTCAAATATCTGTTTCGCTCACCCTAACGTTTTGAACCAAAACAGATAACAAATTGGGATTCACACGGTACTGTGACGTAAAATAACCATAACCGTTTATCATTTTTTTGGAAAACGAAAATATTTCAAAATTTCAAATCAATTTGCAAATCATTTCAAGCCAACGCAGCAAAGAAAAAAAAACGACTCGTCACAAAGTTACCCTTGATTTTGATCTCATCCTTCCCCAAAAATTCAGTTTACTAAAGCTGAGAAACAGGACGTTTAGAATATTCGTGCTGATTCGTGCAGATTCGTATCTTAACTGAACTGAACTGAACTGAATATATATAATATTCTTTACAAATGAATTATTTCCCGTGCAACCAAACATTTCAAAATTGGGTAAAGTTGTTAGATTAGGGAAATATTACACAAAATTTAGTAGGGCACCGTAACACGGAAACCTTTTCTTTTATATATGTCAAAAAAATCTATGAAAAAGAAAATTTGAGACAAATTTTTTTTTTAGATCAATAGACTCCCTTTTTAAAGCCGAATTGAATGGTGGCGAGTTTTTAAAAATCCAATGTGTGGATTTCAAAAATTTTAACTTTTGAGTATAGATTATCCGCGCTGTATATATATAGCTATGTGGATTGTTGTTTATTAAAGTTTAGTGAAAATGGCAATATATTAATTTATTAAGGAAAAAATGTGGGCAGGAGTGATGACCAAAAATAGACAATTAATTTCCAAATGCGGTAATTTGGTTGATAAACTTTAATACCAAGATTTTTTTCTATTTTATTAATAACCCCTCCTAATTTTTTTCTCAAATTTGGTGGCAAAAAAAGGTTAAAATTAATAGAATTTCACCAAAAAATTTCGGAAAATACACTTCCCAATCGTTTAATGTGACTATTAGGAATTGGTATTGGAATACATTTAGAAATTACTGTGTAATTAACCAATCAGAATGATTTAAATGACCAACTTTGAACCTTCATAACTCCATGAATTTCTATGATGATAAAAAAATTTAAACCAGTATAAATGAAGTTCAGGTCTTAAACTTCAATTTTATCCATTGTTTTTTTTTTCTAAAAATCCTAGTTTGATGGTAATGAGCCTTCAAAGATTGTCGATTTTAGTAGCAATTTTGTACCATAAAAAACAGAGAACTTTGTGTTCCTTTATTTTGAAAAATTTTTTTACTATTTAATGCAAAATAAAAATGGCTCCAAATTCAGTTTCCGTGGCACTTGGCTCTTTAACAAAAAGTTTCAAAAGAACCAGCAAGGATCTATTAAAAGCATTCTCATTAGCAAGTCATAGCGACAAAGATGATAACGATAATGATAATAATCAACAAACAGTTATTACTACCACTAAAAACGATGATGACAATAATGCCAATCAGGCTACCACCGTCACCACCACTAATATCATTAACATTAACAATTCTACCAATACTAATGCTATTGCTTATGTTGTTAATAATTGTGATCAGAATGCCTGTATTGACGATTATTTTCTAAAATTATGGGCAGATTGGACTATTTCATGCTCAAACAATAAAATAGTTATACCGGAACCTCCAGAAGACATATTAAAAACAAACAAATATATAATTAATAATCATGGATGGTGGCCAATGTTTGGTGGCAAAAGCAGTCTAAAAAGGAAACATGCTGCTTTATCATCTACATCATCTACATCATCACCACCATCGTTATCGTTATCATCAACATCAACATCATGTTCATTATTTAAATCTCCACTTTCAAAGCGACAAAAGATACACAACAATTCACATTATTCATCTCAATTCTCTGACAGAAATTATATTTCTGTCGAATGGTGTCCTGAAGAAAATCAAATACACACCATAATTCCACCAAGAACTAAAACTTCTTCTTTATCACAAGAAAATTATGCTGTTATAACTCATAGAATATTGGCCTTAAGATTAAAATCAAGAAATGGCAACTCGTATAAAGGCGGCTCTGCTTTCAAATTTCGAAGAAGTGTTATTAAAAAAGTAGCCAAAGGTAATAAATTAATATTAATATATATATATATATATATACATACATATACATATACATATATATACAATTATGAATCTTTAAATAAAAAAAATTTTTTTTTTTTGACATTTATTTCTACTATCGCGTTTCTAGATAACAGTTAAGTTCTATTTTAATCATTTAAATATTATTCAATTTTTTTTCTATACATATAAATATATTGCTAACCCAAATTTCATATATATATATATAATAGTTAACGGATTAGATTCTAATCTTCGCCTTCCTTATGATATTTTTGTTAATGATTTTGAACAATACGTTGAAAACGCTCTAATGAAAAATCCCTGGAAAGATGGAACTACTTATCCAAATAAAGGAGATTTAAAAGATATTAAAATTGCTCACATCAACAGAAGAGATCAACGACAAGCATGTAAGTTTCATAATGATAATGATGGTGGTAGTTGTTGTTTTTTCAGTTGAATTTTTTCTTTCCTTAAATTGTAAATAATAATAATTCTTTTTAAATAACCTGTCAATCTAATCTATCTATTAATTACTCGTCCATACGTACATATATATTTCTTATCGCTCTTATTTTATTCTTTTACCCAATAATTTAGGCTATGTTTTATCAAACGATGAAAACCAAGTTGATAATTTTAAATTTTTTGATGATGACAATGATACAGAAAGTTCAAATTCTTTGATATTATATGAAAATTTCTTTTCTCAACTAGAAAAATAAAATGACAACGACGACAACGACGACAACAACCAGTGTATAAAATTCAATGTAATTTTTTGCGGATAATTTCTAAATTTGTAGAAATCTATTAGTTACACACCGAAATTTATACATTGACCATTGACAACAAACACAACTAGATTTATTATTATAAATTCATCACAAACATCACCACACACGCGCATATAAATATATATACATCTTTTATTTAATTCATACTAGTTAATTTAAAAACCCCCTTTTTTTGTAAATAATCTATAATTTTTTTTATTAATTTACAATTAAATTCAAAACGCTAATAAAAATATTTGTAGATCCAAATGTTATTATTAACAGTTAAAATATTAATTCTATATTAAATACATTATTACAACAATCTATTTTGATAAATTAATCTAAATATTTATTGTTATTATATCATATCTCCAATGTCCGAACAAAACCCCCATTAATCTCGTTATGAGCCGTAATTCTATGTAGTAAAAAAAATTCTTTAATTGTGAACTCTTATATCGTCGTATGAATAACTTTAATGCGACGGAGAGTATTATAACGAGGGTTTTTGTGAAAAAATAATAAATTATTATTAAATATTAATATACACTGTTACTATCCAAATAGTTGATTTAATTCCTCTATCGGTGAATTTATTCCTGAAGATAAATCGATTTGATCATTTATTATTCTATAATCGTCAACTTCAAGTGATTTGGGCGATTTTGGTGGTGATTTAGGTGGTGACGGCGGTGGAGTTGTTGACATGCTCACAGATTCGTCAGTTAATATAATACTCTCTATTGAATTTGCGGAACTTTCTTTGCTTGGACCTGTTATATCATCATCTGTATCTGGTGGCAATGGTGGTAATTGTGATAAGGATATTTGTGGAGATGGTGGTGAACTGGAAATATCAGATGATTTTTTTTGTTGACTGTTATTACGATTATCGTTAGAAAGAGTTCCTGGAATTTCATGTCCTGATTTCTGTCGACGAATGGATACTGATCTTGACCAACGTTTAAATGTAGATCCTGTGGAATTTGATGATAGTGAATTAGGAAGAGATGACAATATTGAGGAGTTGTTCGAATTGTCTTCAGTGTTGACATCATTAACGTTATTGTTATTGTTACTGCTGTTATTATGATTATTGCTATAGTAATTATAATATGATAAACCTTTTGATGTTATGTGTGCAAATCCATCAAAACGTTTTAATTGTTTAGCAACATTATATCTAATTCTGCCTTTAGTCAAATTAGGTTCCCTATATGGTTCATCCAAGGTTAACATGTTTTCTTCGTTAGCTTTTAATGGCGAAGACAATAATAATTCTGGTTCAGTTTTTTGTAACTCTGGATCCACTGTCTCACTTATAACTGTGTTCAACATTTCTGTTTGAAGTTCTGGATCTGGATCTGGATCAATAGAGTTGTTGTTATTATCATCATCTTCATTTTGTTCATTTGGTTCTTCATTTTCGTTTTCATCATTCTCTTCTCCAATCTTAACATCACCTTCAAAAATACCACCCATTCCAAAACTTCTAAAGAATGGTGCATCATCCATATTTGGTAATACTAAAGAATCCATAAACATCTCGTGAATTTTCGATTCTATGACTTTAATTATTGGTGCAAACTTTAGTTGAGTTTCCGAAATTACAGGTTCAATTAATAAATCTAACTTTGGCATTTCATAAAACCCTGTCCATATTCTATTGGTTGGCGGAGGTTTGATTCTTAATAACAACCTTCCCTGTAAACCTCTTAAAACTACAGCAAGCACAACAGGTAATTTGATGGTTTTTAACTTTGTAACTGCAATTATTGCTTCGGTTTCAATTTCTACACGAAATCCGCCATTATAATCAAGATCCACATCGACACTTAAACCACCGTTTATATCCAACTTGGCTAATCTGGGATTGGTCAAATATGGCACACCGTCTCCAACTTCCACCGATTTGATCTGAATGTCGCTTAAAAAACTCGGTTTTTTTATCTTTTTAACCTTTCTAATCAATTTTCGAACAAAGTGATCTTTGACAGCTTGAGTTTTGTACACCGAAAGGAATACGCGTCCTAAAATAGCATTCAACCATTGTGTTTCAATATGTTCATCATTTGAATATAAAGTTTTCAAAAGATGATTCATTGAAAATTGATCAAATTGTGCTTTATCCCTTACAACTTGTGGTTGAGGTCCAGGTGAATTTGACTCAAGTTTTGATGATTTTTGCAAAACAAAATACCAATCTTCTTTTTCCACTGCCACATTACAAAATAAATAATAAGTAGTATCATCTATGTCAATTTTCATATCATCATAAACTGATTGTTTTGTTTTTAATCTTATCGAAGTTGCTTTTGAAAAAATCTCATTATCTGGTAAATTTTCTGGATATATTGATACGTTATGATTTGATATAATTATTATACCCTTGCAATCTAATTGTCTTTCGCTATCATACATAAAAAGAGTGTTATACTTTAGCACCGCAAAATATGAATCTTTTGAACGCTTTAATTGTGAATTTTTTCCTTCCATAAACGATTGTATTCCTTGTTTCATCATGTTACCAAATGTTGGACCGTTTGTTGTTGAGTTCATCTCGAATTCTTTAGTTACTCTTAACCACCCAAACTTGTGAAAACAAGCATCATCTTTTATTATATTATTGTTGTTGTTACTATGATTACCATTGTTATTGTTATTGTTTGCTTTTTCAATTTTTAACGAATCTTTGAAATCGTTAGGCACATTATCAATTTTTTTTAGTGACCATGTCCAAGGTCGAAATACTATTAAAAATATTATAAATGCTAGAACTGGGAGAAAAGTAACGCCACCAAATAAATATATTAACAAAATTGTTCCAATCGTTGTCATGTTTTCTATAATTTTTATGAGCAAATGAATAATTTTGTACAACAAAACTTTAAATTTTAAAGGTATTTATTATAAAAATTATAAAAAAAAAAATTTAACAATAAAATAATGAAAATAATGAAAAATAAATATAAAATAAATTATTATGTTCGTGTGTGTGTATATATATATATGTATAAAAAACTTAATGATTGCAAAAAAATTTTACTTTTTCTTTCATAAAATCTAATATTATATAAATAATAATCATATTAAATGACAATTAATATACACTTAAAAAGAAAAAAAAAAACCAATTAAATTAATGAATGCCCCATAAAAAACCCAATTATTTCTTTTCAAAAAAAACAAAAAACATAAAAATAAATATAACATTAACGCTATTACAAATTATATATTAATTAATTTAGATAGATGTATTATGTGTGTACCTCATTAGGATTTTCTTTATATATATATAATATATATTATAATCCTATTCCTGTTATACCACCTCCCACATATCCATAATTAGGATCTTGTTGATGTGGTTGAGCATTTCCATTTCCAAATCCAGTTGTTCCAAAAGTCCTAGCAGATCTCGAGGAATTTAATGAACTAGTAGATGCTGAAGTCCTTAAACGTGGATGTTGTGGTGGTGTAGAAATTCCTTCTGATGGTGTAACGTCATTAGAGGGCATGGTATCCTGTATGGTTGGAAGATAACCTCGATTTGGTATTGTAGCACTATGCGCAGAAGCTGCTGACAACGATCTTGATCTAGTTGAATGAATTGGAGGTGAGTGTAAATTATTATTATTAACCGCGTATGGGTCATAATAAGAGGTTCTCATTTCTGATGACATTGCCGATATTGGCGGACTTGCAGGATTTGATGAAGTTGCCCAATTTGCGGTTGGTGATAAATCATGGTCGATAACAGAACTACGATATCCAGATTGTCCATTATTTTGAAGACCTTGGGGCAGGATCTGTCCTCTGCTTTGTTGAAGCATTTTCTTAGCAGCAATCATTACTTTAAGAGCACGTATTTGTAAACCTGTTTGACGAGATAAAGCTGCAGTCTCATAAATTAAAGCCGCAGTTGTCATACTCAACGATACATGTAATGCATGTGATGCCAGTTGTCTAAGCCTATCCAAATCATACATATCTGCTAACAGTAAAAGTTGCGATAAGACGTGTGGTTGATTTTGCTGTGAAGTTAAAAGATGATCAGTGTATAGATATTGTAAAAATGCTAATGTGACAGATGATGGTTCAGGAAATTCAAGAGCCCTATTATGATACATTAATATTGGCAAATCATCATCTATTTTTTTTTGTGATTCCTCATCATACTTAAGTCTGGGTGCCCTATCAGCTTGCATTTCCACCAGTGCTTTAAAATGAGGCCATCTTTGAGATAATATTTGTGAATTCACTGGAATTCTTTGTTCATCTTGAGTGATAATTTCAAAATCTGCTATATTGGGATCATTTAATAATGCTAACCCTAATTCTTGTGCAGAGGTTGTCATTGTTGTAGGTGGTGGTCTATAAATGCCAAATGCTTCCAAATCCACAACTGTTACATGATTATAATTTGTTTGACGGTGATTATAATCGTCAACGAGTGATCTATCACGATGTCCGAGAACATAATATTTATTTGTTGCTTCACACAGAACACCGCGGTTCCAAGAACCTTGTAAGAAACATGAGCCAGTATCAATTCTAATCCAAATAAAATTTGCAAGATTTAATGCCCATATGCTAAACGTTTGACAAGGGCTGGTTAGGTAAGTGCCTGAAATTATTAAATGTTGTCCCAGTATTGCACCAGTCGGAAATCTTAAGCCAGGTGGTAATGCACCAGACATATTTGTTGAATGGTCCACGATTTGATAATTTGGTATTGTAGGTGGTGTGATTAATTGTAACTCTCGTTTAACATCAGCAAAATTATAATTAGAATATAAATACACAGGAGTTGGGTTATCTTCAGTTACCTTTGATGAATAAGATAATCGATGATAAAATGAATTTCCAGAACTTTGTATACGTTTAGCGGAACGTGAACGAACATGACCACTAGATGGAGGTCTACGCAAAGAACCTGATTGACTAAAAGAACCTGTTGAAGGTGGCTTGCGTATAACATTAGCAGGACTATTTGGTGGCATTGTTTGAGAAGAAATTGATTTTTTGGGTGCAGAAGGCCCTGCTTCTGTTGTTTGATCACTGGTATTATTGTTATTATTATTATTATTATTATTGTCATTATTCATAATAACGTCGTTGTTGTTGTTGATAGTATTTGAAGGTGTGGCAGGTGTGGGTGGCGGTAATTCATCAAAAGATGTTATAGATGCAATATCACTAAATAATGGATATGCAGTACAAGATGAGCTACTGACGGCCACAGACCTATATGCACCACAATGCTTTTTAAAAGGTCTCGTTGATATCCATTTCATTTCAACTAAATCTAACACATTAATCTCCTCTATATAGTAATTAGTCAAATCTTGGCCACCTATTATTACAAGTTTATTTGCGGTGACGGAAGCTAAATGTGCGTACCTTGGACGAGGTAATAAATTTGAAGGAACAATCTCGGGATAATTCCATGTGTGGGTTTCTAAATTAAAAACGCACAAATCGTCTAATACACATAAGTCATCATTAGACGATGATGTTCCTTTATAACCCATACCACCAAAAATGACTATTGAATTTTCATATTGATTTGCTGAATGAAAATATCTTTCTTTAGGAGTAACCTGATTATTATCTGGAATTTTTGTCCATACAAAAGTTTCCAAATCAAGTAGATAAATATCGTTAGTCATTTTTCTTGTAGATACCAAACGTCCTGCAAATATATAAAGACAGGTTCCAACAACGGTTGTCGATGAGCCTACAAGAGGGGGAGGAATATCACCAGTGGTCAAACGAGTTGAAGCTGTTAGATCAGCTATTGATTGTAGACCAGAGTTTGTTGTAGTCATATTTGTTTAAACTATAAAAAATTTTATTCTATATTTTTATTTCTTCTTTCTTTCCAGTATATTTGCATTCAATAAATTATTTTGTATTAATATTTGTAATATGATTTGTCTTATTTTATGCTAGTAGTAAAAAGAAGGAGTAAATGAACATCATTAATTAAGAATTAAATACTTTATATAATATTTAAAAAACAATTTTACTCGGTTCGATGACTTCTTTCGACTTATTTGTTTGTGATAATATTTACAATTGAAAATAAATAATTCCTTTACTTTACCGTGTAGAAAAAAAATGAATGAAAATGGATCCTGCAATTCCGATCATAAAAAAAAAGTACATAAATAAATTTCCATTAATAAATACTTGTGTGTTTTGCTTTTATTTATTTTTGATCTATAAGATGAGAAATGTAATTTTACAAGTCAAGAGCTACATGGAATACATAAGCAACCCGGTATTATTATGAAAATAATATTTACCAAAAAAAAAAGATTTTTTTCTTGCCTTAAAAACTTTGTAGTTCAAGTTGTTGAATTATATATAGATATAGAAATATACAAAAATTAAAACCAAAAATCTTATAAAATAAGAGCGACTAAGAGGCAACATATGCAATTTCAAAAATCAGAACCAAAAAATCAGAAATACAGTGTGTATTATATAGAGCATAAAGAAGCAAATGAAAAAAGGAATGTAAAATTGTAAATAAATCAAAATAAATAAATAATATTTAATTAATTAACAATTTTTTTTTCACACTATATATAGAAACATCCTGCGGCGTATATGTAGATCGCTTATGAATTTAAAGTTGAATGTTGAATGGATGAATGGATTAAAGGGCATACATACCATATGTAAAGAATGTGGATTCAATATGCTAGTTTCATTGTTCTGATGTACAAATGGCTTATTTCATCTGATTTAAAGAATATTTTAAATTAAAAAAAATATACCTTTTTTCAGAGAAGAGAGGGAACGTACGTATATTAGCCCAAAATTCTTGATGACGATCATTATCATAAATATTAAAATATTTGATCAATTTTTTTAGTATATATAATAGTGCGCCACAGCACCAAAGATCTCAAATCAAAAAAGGGTATTCGATATCAGCCGCAGGATATTGCAGATCAAGTGTCCATTCATTATATAACAGGCTATTGGAAAATTTGCACCTCATTTTTCAGGAACTGATCAACAAGATTCTCAAGAATTCCTTGCATATTTATTAGACGGGCTGCATGAAGATTTGAACATTGTGAAAGCTAAGCCCAATATCAGAGCATTAACAAGGAAGGAAGAAGAAAGCATGAATAAATTTGTCAAAAAAAAAAAATTTTTATCGTTTTTCTTTTAACAAACAAAATTTTTAGAGCTAGACTTGGCCTCCTAACGACTATTAAATAAGAGTTTAGCTTAATTATTTGTTATTATATGCCAGGCTGCAAAGGTTACTTTTTTTTCACATTCCCTTTAAGATTTTCTTCCGACTAACGCGCAGAATAAAGCAAATTCAACGGTAATAGTTGTGTCAAACTGTTCCTTACAAAGTCGTTTATAATAACTTGAAAGGTTGTATTGGAAAAATCTTGACTTTATTATAAGGAATTGATTCATAATTATTTATATGGTTATTATTATTTCTAGAATCACAACCAATTTCAAAAAATAATACTAATAATGAATCAAAAATTTTATTATCTAATAATATGTAAAAAAAAAATATATTTATGAAGTTGAATTTCAGTTTAACATGGCATGGAATATTAGTAATCAATATATATAAAAAATTTTTTTATCAAAAGATTCACAATGTCTACCATATTTTAATTACCAGAAGACGATTTAATAACTAACAATAATAATAAATCATATATACAAACTAGAAACAAATATAGAGAGGATCCACCAACACCTTCTTTTTAATTCCTTTTATTTAATTAATCAATATCCACACACACATCATTATGTATATTAATAGTAATGTATAAAATATCCATTCTTTGCACATCATTTCTTCTTTTTCCCGATATCATTATAATCATTTCTATCTCACAAGAATAAAATATAAAAAAAATTCAATATCTTTATAATATATCTATATACTGTATATAAGCATTACCTGTCTAAAAGCATAGGATTTTCTCGGCCCGAGTTGGGCCATATGTGTTAGCATACTGCAAATTCTATATGAACATAAACATAATCACGTATATCAACAAAATTTCTGTCACACTATTTTTTAAAAAACTGTAAAAAAATAGACTAGGCCTTTTTGGGAATAACTAAATATTTAAACAATTTGCTTTACTTAAAACGTAAAAGAATAGATCATTCACAACAGGATTACATACATTGATTATTATTACATTTGGTATATATTATGACATTACAGCCTAATCATGACATTACGGCTTTTAATCACTCAGATACCATAATATTATGACATTCACAAATTAATTTATTTGTATACTTTGCATAGTTAACGAATTTAGAATGTCTGAAATTTTTGGGTCAAATGTAAACCGAAAAACCGAATTTTTGGTTCAGTTTCGGTTTGGAACCAAACCAAACCGTTCGGAGCATTGGCACCAATTGATGAATTAAAGTCTTTAATTGCAGAATATGACTTAAATGATGTTTGTAATGCTGACGAAACTGCTCAGTAGTGATCCTATCACTGGTACAAAAAAAAAAACTAAAGATAGGATTACAATAATGCTTGCATGTAATGCAACTGGTTCTCATAAATTGCCAGCTGTCTTTATTCATAAGTATAAAAATCCAAAATGTATTTGTAATATTTATAAGAAAACACTTCCAGTGTGGTACTATTGGAATAATTCATCATGGATGCAATGTTCAATATTCCAATCATGGATTAAACAAGTTAATCAACAGATGCGAAACCAACATAGAAATATTTTATTACTAGTTGATAATGTTTCTTCGCACCATTTGGAAGAAGGTGAAACATTAAGCAATATTTAAATTATATTCTCTTCCACCAAATACAACAGCTCATCTCCAACCAATTGATAAGGGTATAATTCATTCATTTAAAGTAATTATATTTTTTTAAATTGAATTTTTATTTTTTATACATAATTGACTTTTTTTAAATAGTCACACTACAGAAAACTCCTATGTCGTAAGAGGATAGATACATTTGATAATTCACGGGAATGTGAAACCCCAATTTCAATTTTTAAACATTTTGAGAAAATGTGGCTGATGATGTGATTTATAGACGTTGGGAAAGAACAGGTATTCTACCTGATTATGGAAGTTGATACTAAAATAGATGAAGTACAATTACTTATTGATCAAATCAATGTTAATAATAATGATGATAATATTATTACAGCAAGAAGTTACATTGAGATTGATTCTGATTTAGGAACTGAAATGCTTGATGATGACGAAATTATTGCAACAGTTCAAGAGGCATCCGAAGAAGAAGAAGATATTGGTCCACCAATACTTAATAAAATTGCTTTAGAAACATTCAAAATCTATATAATTACTTGCAACATACAAGTAAATAGTTCATTTGTTTCAGGATTAAAAGATTTAAATGGAAAATTGATAGAAAACAAAACAATTCTTTAATACAAACTAGTATGAATATTTATTTAGATAAATAATAATGATTTTTTGTTTTTATCTTCTATCTGTTTTTTTATAATAATTATTTCAATTATTATAAATAAATAAATGATTTAAACACGATTTTTCTTTTTTTTTTTTTTTTTTTTTTTTTTTTGTAAAATTGCATATTTTGATAAGTCGGATCTCTTGATAAGTCAGTGTCGGAATTATCGAATTTATCCGTGTATTTAGTGATTAGATCAAAAGGATATGAATGATAAAATATCAGTTGATTGAATTTTTATTTTGATATATTTATTTATTTTTTTGTAAATGTTCCAATTTGGAATAATTTAAATGATTATTCGGCAATAATAAATATGATGACGATTAGTCCCAAATTTTGTTTTTTTTTTTTACTAATATAGCGTTGATTTACTGCAATTTTAATTTTGGATACATTGATGGTGCATATCAAAAGATTTACAAAATACTATTGTTCTTATCAATAATTTCAAAATCAATGTTTTTGATAGGATGTTAATTCATCAATAAGTTCCTTTTGCCCTAAGTAAATAAAGAATTTATTATTATTATTATTATTATTATTTAATTATGTTAAAATATACCATATAATAGAATTTATGACACCTACAATTGTTATATTTGGAACCAATATCATTTTTTTTAACAATATGCTTGAGATATGGCACACATTCTAATTGCCATGCTTTGTTATTCTTAGCTTTGTAAAATAAAACACATATATATATCTTAATAAAATCCGTAAATATATAAAATGTATATATAAAAGATTATTGATTAATTTACCTTTAGGTGCATCTTCATTTTTATAAGTTGCGTTTAATATTTCTTGATATTCCAGATTTCTTTGATGTTGAATTCCAAATGTATCAAAATATGAAGATCTTTTAAATCCTGAAAAAGAAGGATTTGATGGTACTTTCTGTATATGTGCAAAATATAAGCTTCTGGTTGCATAGAAAACTGCACATGGTTTTAAAGTTTCAGAATTCTAGATGAGAATATTGTATAATGTAATTAATTGTTATAATAAAATAATAAATATATAAATACATGCACACAAATATGTATATATAGATGGGCCACCATTCATTACTAACCCTAATATCATCACTTCCAATTAAACAGTCAGATCTACTTAACCTCTCAGCTGCAAATGCTAATTCTGATATATTACCAAAATAATTTATATAATTGTTTTGCAATAAATCAAGATAGAAGTCAGAATCAGTATCAAGATTATCTAAAAAAACCTATACAAAAATAAAGACAAGTATACAAGAATAAAGATAAGTTTATTACAGTAATAGAATACAAAATTATGAAAAGTTTGATAACATACTTCAGGCATTATTGGAATAGGATGTCGATCAGGCATCTCATCAGGTGCAACTTCTTTCCTCATTAACTTCCCAAGCTTGATACTTGTTTTATCACCACAAACATTAGGTTCTGCCCCTATATATTTTTAATGCAAAATAATTAAAATGAGAATGTTTTTTTTTTTTAAAAAATAAATATGTAACTTACTGAAATTGTATAATACATTTCTAACAGCAGTGTGTTTGTTTGTTAAATTATCATGAGATAAAGTATTTAATGTTGTGTCACTGATGATAATAATGATTTTTGGTCAAATAAAGCAATAGAAACAAAATCATGGTTTTATAACCATTATCATTATTATCAAGAAATACTTACATCAATGGTTTTATTTCATAATTGATATTTGCTGTGGATTTTGATGATGATGCATAGTTTGTCTTTAACTTTTTTGGTAATCTTGACAAAGCATTAGTCATCAAGGTTGCATTTATTTCTTCCTTCACTTCTTGGGGTATTTGTATTAGGAAAGATTCCAAAAGATTAATTGCACTTCTCAGATCACCATTTGATCTTTTTTCAACTGAAGGAATTAACTGTAGTGATATCATCCTTTTTTGTTGGTCATCTTTATATTCATTATTAGCATATTTTTGAAGAGTACCTATCATCAAGTATGTTGGCACCAGTGTTGTGATCAGAAACTCTTTTGGCTTCCCGAAACGTTTCGGAAAATGAACTTACACTAAGCAGAAAACTAAAA